TGCAGAAGCCGAGTACAGAGCTATGGCTCATACCACATGTGAACTAGTATGGTTGAAGAACTTGCTACAAGAGATGGGGTTCTCAGTTGACAAACCCATGAGACTATACTGTGATAACCAAGTTGCTGTTCACATCTCTTCCAACCCAGTCTTCCACGAAAGAACCAAACATATTGAGGTCGATTGTCACTTCGTGAGAGAGAAATTGAAAAGTGGAGTGATAACCACATCTCATGTGAGCTCAAGAAATCAATGGGCAGATCTCTTTACAAAGGGATTGTCTCGGGGCAGAGTAGATTATATTTGTGACAAGCTGGGACTATATGACATATACTCTCCAGCTTGAGGGGGAGTGTTAGAATACACAAATCAGGGGTATTTTGGTCATTTGGGTTTATCTATCTGAGAGTGAAAGGTCTATTTTGTTTAAGTATAAGTTATGTGTCCCATCACTTATGAAGGACAATATGGTCTTTCTTGTAACTATGTTATTAGAGATAAATACAAGTGGGTCGGCTAGAGGTGGACTGATTTTTCCTAATCTGGCCGAACCCTTCTTATTCTCTTCTTCTTTCTCTTCTTCTTCTTCTCCTCTTCTTCTTCTCTACTTTAACCTAGAATCAAATAGGGATTTCACAATCATGATTTCTTAAATCGTTCTAGCATCTGTACATGCAGATTTACAGGGTTAGGTGCAAAAGTTTGAAACTGGTGTACTAGTTTACATTAGAAAAGGTTGTGAGCAATTGTTCTTTTCCTCTTTGTACTCTACTCAACATTGAGAAAATTTAGTAGGTGTCTATATGCCCCTATTAGGCAGGTTGGGTTGGGGGGCCAATGTAGGCCTTGGAACTAAACTATTTACAACCGTGAACTCGACACCAGCCTGTTTCTATGTAAATAACCGATAAGTCCAAAACAAAGAGTGTTGGATCAGGTTTCATCAGGTTAGTATTGGTTTGTAGATCATGTAGAAATCAGCTGAAAGGGGCTGAACTCAAAAACATGCCACTACTCTTATGACTAAAGCCAAAAACCCTGAAGTTAAATACATCATTCAATTGGGTTCTTTTTTTTGCCTCCACCTGAGGCCTTAATCCCCCACCTTATTATTGGTCTGGGTTGCTTAAATTATGGTTGACCCTTGCCCAAGTTGCAATTCCATCTCTGGATTTCTATTTCTATGCTTGTTTTTTCTAATTTTTATTCAACTTTATATGCTTTATTTTTTTATTTATATCTTCATTTAGGTCATAGGTGTTCCTTTATTTTTTCTGCTCCATGTTTCATACTTTGGGTAATAGAACCAAGGTCACCTTGATTGATGATATGGGTTTGTGCCATTTGGTTGGACCAGTGGGCTGACTTTGAGTCTTTGACAGCCCAATGATGTACCTGAGGTCCTAACTAAAGTAGGAAAAAAACTAAATATTTACTAATAAATGGCACAAACCAAAACCTGCTAGTTTGTCTTGTTCAATAGCAAGTTTTGGGTTTTCAATGTCAATGTTTTAAAACACGGAGGCGTGATGCAAGGTGTTCCACTACCTAGAGGTGTGAGGCGCGGTTCAGAACGTAAGAGGTGTAAGCCTCCTTAAGAGAAGGGGGGATGAGGAAGGAAGGAGGAAGAAAAAACTCATTTTTCTTTATTTTTAATAAAAATCTTTTTATATTTAAAGATTATTCAGCTGATGATTTGTTTAGAGGATGGTACACCGTGGCAAACTCTTCTTCATTGAGGTCTGTGTTAAAGGAGCAATGGATCCCTCCTGCCCATCAATGGGTGAAGCTGAACTTTGATGGGAGCTCCTTAGGAAACCCTGAACCCTCTGGGGTGTGAGGAGCCTTCAGAGACAGGGAGGGCAGACTGGTTGCACTGTATTCAGGTCCTATAGGTGATGGAGACTCTTTGAGAGCAGATATTTATGGCCTTGCTACAAGGTCTAAGGCTGGCTAAACAATGGGGATTACACCAGATTGAGGTAGAAGGGGACTCTAAACTATTAATTGGATGGTTGCAGTCACATAACTTGGGGGCTTTGGTACATCAACAATTCATGAGGGAAATAAACTGCTTAACAAGGGAGGTTGGGGCACTGTTCAAGTGGACAAGGAGGTCAGCAAATGGACTAGCCGACACCCTTGCTAAGCAAGGAACTTTCAGGGAAAACTTATTTTGGGCTGTTCCGTAATCAGAAAGTACTTTTCTTGGCATAAACACCCTTAACTGGGTGGTGACAGTGTATTCTCTTAATCTGTCTAATGGAAGTTACTGTTTCTGATAAAAAATTAAATAAATAAAAATCTTTTTACATCAAGAAGAATGAAGATGCATAGCACTAGTTGAAAGGGAGGGGTCTGTGTATTATAGTTTGGGGTTTGTGTATTATAGTAAATACGACTGTTCATAACAAGACCCAAACTGACCAAACCGACCAACCCGGTCTGATCCAACCTGAGTTGGTTGGTTTTTCTTCACACCGGTCAGTTTCGGGTTACAAAAAAACATAAACCGATGATTCGGTTCAGTTTCAGTTTTCATGTGTGAAAACCGAAACCGAACCGACCCGACCCGAACCGACTTAGATATATTATATATATAATATTTAAGATATATTATATACATCTGATATATTTCAGTTTTAATATATATATATATATTTTTCAGATATTATATATATATATTTCAGATATATATTTGTGGAAATATATATATATATATATATATATATATATATTTCATCTTTATTTCGGAAATATACATATTATATATCAAATTTTAGCTTTAATCCATCAAATCATTTTTAATTTCCAGGCACCCAGCCTTCACTTCTTAGACTTGAATCCTTTACCGTTCACACCGAGAGAATTATTCACAAAACTGACCCAAACCGATTCAAACCAACCAAGTCGGTTTTACTTAGTATAGGGTCGGTTTCGGTTTCATTTCTAGGTAAACCGACCGGGTCGGGTCAGTTGGAAAAACGCCAGTAAACCAACCCAACCCGACCCGTGAATAGCCCTAATAGTAAATTGTGATTGCCTACCAAGAGAAATTAAGATTATGAACCTCACATTTCTTCTATGTTTTTGCAGAATTCAACAAAGGAAATGGTTGCTAAGTTAAATGAGGATAATATAGAGCTACAAACCCAGGTAAGTAACTTCCAATGGCTTGATTCCTCGAACTAATTGATTAGATTAAGTAGATTTTCAAACAGTAATCTATTTACAAACAAGTCAGTGAAGCTGACTCCATCTAATTCCAAGTGTCGATCAGTTTAATGGCATGCTCAGTTTGGCCTTTGTAAATTGAATGGTCTCAACCAATTTGTTGAGAGAGTTTACAAATTACAATGCACATGTAGTATAACTGCACACCTTATCTACTTCTGGTGTCACACTTCCTTTGGAATCTCCTAGTTCTTATTTCATTCATAGTCTGGAATTATGTTAAAAAGAACTAGTTCTAGGGAATAGAATCCTTGGCATCATGGTTGAGGAGTTAAAGTTTGTATCTTCTAATATTTCTCCTTTACAATGCCCAACTTTGACTGTATCCTCTTGTTATGAAAGTTATCACCATTATCCTCTCCCTGTGAACTATATTGGCATCGCCGTGGAAAGCAATTCATGGTGCCCTTCCTCTTTTCCTCAATTTTGTCAAGTATGATGTTTGTTCAAGGGTTTCGGTGTTGTTTTGGGAGGATACTTGGGTAAGGGCCTCTCCTCTCAAGGATCTTTTTTTGCCCCTCTACTTCCTCTCTGTGTATAAAAGGTAACCTATTTTAAACCTCCTCATCCCCCTGTTAACCTTTGGATTTGAATTGGGACTTTGGTTTGGGAAGAGTTTTAAGGGAAAATGAGGCTGCTTTGGTAGTTGACCTTTTACAACTCCTTGGAACTGTTTGCTCTAATCCTTTTAGGCTTGATAGGTGGGTGTAGACTCCAAACCCCAAAGGTCACTTCTCTTGTGCTTCTTTTTTCAAATCCCTTTGCTCCTCTGGTAGCCCATTGTTTTTTCATTGCAAAGAAATTTGGTGTAGGTCCATCCCCCTAAAATCAATTGCTCTTGGGAAGGTTAATACCATGGATATGTTGCAAATAAGATCTTTTCTTTGTATCTCCCCAAACCAGTGCATCCTATGTAAGGTTGATGGTGAGATCTGTTACCATCTCTTAATCTCCTGTCCTTTTGTTGCAGGTGTTTAGGAGTGGTTTTTCTTTGTTTGGGTGTAGGTGAGTTCTACCCTCAGAGGTGGATAAACTGTTTGAGCCATCAACCGAAGAAGAGAGGTAGAATTATGTGGACATGCAGAAGGGCAATTGTGTTGTGGATTGTGTGGGAAGAAAGAAATGCAAGAGTTTTTCTTGAAAGGAAAGAAATTGGGAGGCAGTGAAGGAGTGTGCAATGTCTAGAGCAATACATTGGTTAAAAATAATGGAAGCTTTTGAACATGTTTCCTTTGATGATATTTGGAGAAATTGTGCTGAATTAGCTAGAAGTTCCTAAAATATGCTGGTAAGTGTGACTTGGTTATGCTTCTATGTACTTGTTCTGATTTATTGATAAATAATAAATCCATGTTTTACTTGTAAAAAAAAAGTGACTTGGTTACCCCCTATGGAAGATTTTATAGAACTGAATTTTGATGTATGCAGTTAAGGAAATCCTGGTCCTTTTGGGGTAGGAGGAGTTTTCAGGGATATCTTTGGCAACATTATTGCCCTTTTTTCAGTTCAGTAGGCTGAGGATTCTGTTGGAGCGGAGATTCTTGCTATTATCCAACGGGGTTGGAATAGAAAAGATTTAAATTTGGAGAAGTTATTCATTGAAGGGGATTCTAAATTGGTAGTGGGTTGGTTAGAGAAACTAGAGGGTTATGTTGAAGATTAATTAGTTTTATGATGTTTTTCTGAGTAGATGTTTTATGTTAGTTGTTAGATAGGAGGTGGGGACCACAGTAGTTATGTGAATCCAAATTTTATTATGTTTTTTGAGTGTTATATATGCTGTTTTATGTTTTGCCGCCCTATAAGGGCATAGTTGTCTTTGTACTGTTCTATTATTTTA